CAAGACATACAGTTGTCCCAAACAGTATCTATCACCCACATCTCCAGACTGCTGCTTCAGACTTGTTTTCTTCTTTCATATTCCTAAAAGAATACTCTTCCCTTCAAAATCCAGCCTTCTTCACCCCATTCTAATATAATTTAATGCCTATTTGAAGGCAGCTTTTTCACAAAATCAAAGCAAAACAGAATGCATGTAGTTATATGAGATTATAATTACAGGTAGGCTGTTAATTTTTAATTTGTTAAAGCCCTCTAGCTAACATTAATAAAAAGAATAAAAGTAGATGTATTTTTGCCAATTTGAAAAAGTAAACATAACTGTTACTCTTAATGTAGTCTATGTATGAAATTATTTCTTAGTAAAACAGGCATGAGTTTCAAATGAGGTTAACTGGTCTGAAATACAGACCCATAAAAATTCTCTAACTGGGTAAGCAGACAACTATTTACTCCATTAGTAGATTGTTTTAAAGATCCTATGTATTTCTGGGCTCCTCTTAACTATTTTAGTTTGTACAATTCAGTGAAAAGCAGAAGATGAAATAACAAATATTTTTGATATATAAAAAAAAAGTTCCGAGGTTGTTCATAGTTGCTGTCAGTTGCAGTTAACTTGACATGTGCACACATCACAGCATAGTTTGAGTCTGTGAACCCTAATTGGAGATTGCTCATCCCTTCTAGATTTAAATCACCAGAAACCCTTGGTCTTTTGGTTAGTAGGGCAACCTGTTACAGACTATGACACCAGAGTTGTCATTGACCATAGGAAATTTTCATCATCAGATTTTTTTCCTTAATCCTCAAATTGGTTTCTAGGTATGTATCAAGACAGAGCAGGGGTCAGACCTGTTGTATATAGGGTTAGAATGAGACAGAGTTGACTCGATAGCACTTAACACCACTATCAAACCTACTCATTGTTGCTGGTATTAAAACACACATGGAAATAGAGGTTCATTGTAGCATCACAGGCAGCTGAGATGGTGGTACTGGGAGAGGAAGAAGGGTTGTGCCCACCCAGGAAGAGGGCCAGAGTCCCGTGAAGTAGAGGTACCTTAGGGCAGATCAACTGAGAATGTCAGCAACCCCAAAACTGAGTACAAACTGCTAGTGGACCAAGTATATGCCACGAGGACGGGGACTTATCCAGGAGCCTCAGTGCAACAGGCAGGGGCATGCTGGGTCAGAGTACCTAAATAATGGTACCGACTAGGAATCTCAATCTTACCTTTGCTACTTTGTCCAAGCTTCATGCTTTGAGGAAATTGACCACATTCTCCATGACTTAAGCTTTCTCATCTGTAATGAAAGTGCCTGGCTGACTGGTAATGCTTTATGTGGGACTATGATTTTTGAAAAATCAAACAGAAAACAGACTTTATGGAATTCATTGGCACGATCTATAGGGTGATGGGGGAGATGAAGGCGTATGGGAGTTAAGAACAATGACAGTTGGGTTTTCAGATTGGGTAGCTGGACGGACAGTGATGCCACTGACAGGAGAATAACAAGGAGAATGGATACTGGGGGCTAGGATGGTGTCTATCCTCCTGCTAAAACTCTCATTACGTGGAAACCTGCAAAGCAAGCAATATGGCATGGCTCTGTCTGCCACGCACCTTTAACAATTTTTTTAAAGGGGCAAGGGAGAAAAATGCAAGCAGCAAGTAAACTATTTCAGAAAGTAGAAATACTGTGGCTGACTCTGAGAAGAATAGGAATCCCAGAACATTTAATTGTGCTAATGCGAAACCTGTACTTGGATCAAGAGGCAGTAGTCAGAACAGAGCAGGGTAACACTGCATGGTTCAAAATTGGGAAGGGTGTACGCCAGGAATGCATCCTGTCTCCATACCTTTTCAACATGTATGCAGATTATCCGAGAAGCTGGGCTCTATGAGGAGAATTGTGGCACCAGGATTGGTGGAAGATCTATTAACAATCTGCATTATGCAGATGACACAACCCTGCTTGCTGAAACTGAGGAGGACCTCATGCACTTGCTGCGAAGGGTCAAGGACTGCAGCCTTCAGTATGGACTGAGGCTCAATGTCAAGAAGACAAAGATTCTCGCCACTGGACCAATTGGCAGCGTCAGGATGGATGACGAAGGATTGAGAGTGTTCATAGCTTCAGTTTGCTCGGCTCCACAGTCAACACTCTTGGCACCAGCAGTCAGGAAATCAAAAAGCGTATCGTGATGGGAAAGTCTGCCGTTAGGGACCTCTCAAAGGTACTCAGGAGCAACAGTGTCTCTCTGGAGACTAAGGTGCGCCTGATACAGGCCATGGTCTTTGCAATCGCTTGTTATGCATCAGAGAGTTGGACAATGACTAGGGAGGATAGAAGGAGAGTGGATGCTTTTGAGCTGTGGTGCTGGAGAAGGGTACTGAATGTACCATGGACTGCCAGGAAAACAGACAGATTCATCTTGGAGAGGATTAAACCAAGCTACTCCTTGGAGGCAAGGATTCTGGGGCTTCGTCTGACATACTTTGGACATGTTGCCAGGAGGGACGGGTCCTTGGAGAGGGACATCATGCTTGGGAGGGTGGAGGGACAGCGCAGGAGGGGAAGACCCTCTATGAGATGGATCGATTCAGTGACTGGGGTAATCGGGATGGGTGTGTCAGAGGCAGTGCGGTTGGCGCAGGATAGAGCAGGGTTTAGGGCTGTTGTGCATAGGGTCGCTATGAGTTGGAAATGACTCGATGGCACATAACAACAACAACAACAACAACAGAAATAAAAGATATTGTGTCCAGAAAATCAGGGATGGGGCCTAAGATCATGGGAAAACACAATGAGTTGGGGGGATGGGTTTCAAAGAACACTTTGTGTCAGGAGGGAAAGTCTGAAATGCCCTCCTCTATGACATAACTGTTAACACCAGTGACTGCATTATTCTTCTTTCCAAATTAAAGTGTTTTTGTACTTTCCCTAGGAGGCAGAATCCATGGATCTTAGAAAGTCAGCTCAAAGCATATTAGTACCCAAGTATATGTTCTTGAAGGAAGGAGAGTGAATCAAACATTTAATGAAAAGAGTACACTGTGGTGGTCATTAGGGCTACTCACAAATATTCTGTCACAGGCAGAAGGACTGCCTTCTGATGTCAGGGACCAAACTGTGTTCTACCAAAATACATGGGGCATGACGTAAAATAATGATCTATCTTGATAAACCAAGTATTTGTAGGAGGCTTAAAGATGGAATGCAGAACTCCTCAATCTCATCAGAGTTCTAATTGAATATAAGGGGAGTGTAGCCTATATTAACTTTCATCTCACTGTTTTTGTTAGATGCCGTAGAAACAGTAAATTTTTGTGTCCAGTAATAGAAGTTGTTGAAGTGTGTTAATAAAGAGCAAGACCTTTGTTTTCACTACACAGAAGTTTATTGTGAAAGTAAGTTAAACATACAACACAGTACGGCTAATGGTGACACAAGCACTCTGGTAGCTTAAGGCAAGTTTTAATGAAAATGAATTTGAAAAAGATGATGCAATGATGTGATTTTGTTTAAATAGACTGAAAAATATCAAATTGCATCAAATAACTTAATAAAAGTAGTTTCTTAAAGCTTGCACTATTGGAGGAAAAGGGCTCATGATCTTAATGCCAGCATTAAGACAGACAGAAGCAGCAGCAGTACTGAATGACAAGAAAAATGCAGTATTTACAGATGGATGGAAACATAAACCTTTAATAACATTTGCTCGTATTTACTGATGAACCAAAAGCCTTTGCTTAGCTAGAGTAACAGAGAAAGCTGTACCATCATTAAAAAAAAAATTAAGTGCAGAAGTAAAAAACTAAGAAGTTCTGTGATAAAGAAACCTTAAAACACCACTATAAGGACCACTTAAAAGGCAATTCCCTCAGGGGAAATTAGGGCACCGAGTGTGTAAACATGTGAGCTGCACAACACCAAACACCAACCAAATTCATTCATAGTGCTTAACATACAGCAATCAGCATGACCTTTTATGATGTATTATTGTTTGTAACAACTTAAACACACTCCTTACTACCATGCATAAGTTCAAATATATAACTACTATTTTTATTCCGAGATACAGGGTATCAGTTTATGAATTGTAACTTATATACAAAGAAAGTCACGCTTTCCTCATCCATCAAGTATACTGATACACTTTTTAAATGTAATGACCTCATTCAGACTCAAGTTCTTTAACCATGACAGTTTTTCAAACTTTTTAAAATAATGCCACTCTGTTATGTTAAAATACATTTTTGCAAAGATCAGAAATGCAGCAACATTTAATGAATGTGACCATGAAGAAATATTTGGATGATGCTTAAATGACTCAGCACTTTTTTCCATTCTGAAAGTGTGTAGGGGGGAAGTTGTACTCATTTTGATACTGAACTTACTTAAAATTATTCTTACACTAATTCATTTCAAAAGGTTCTATTAACAGACCTTTGGAAAATATCATATATATGCTGTGAGTGTTCCTTTCCAGAATAACTAATGGAAGAAAATGTAGCCTCTGGACAGATGAACATTTTCTAAAACTAATGTTTTATCTTCGAACTTTGATAAATGTTGACAGTTGTAGAGGGGCTTCAAGCCTTTTGTTCATAGGGTTGCTTTGAGTCATGCTCAACTCGAAGGCAATCATCGACGTTTTATCACCTAGCATTGTTTTTTACAAAAGCATGCAATATAAAATATACATGAAAGCAGCTGTCTTAAACATGATTTTAATACATTATTACCTTTGTAGCTGATTCATCACTGTCTCCAGTTTAATACGGTGTTAGATTAAGAAGTTCCAGTATCCCTTTTCTGACTGATTTTTTAAAAACAATCCCTGAATATAACAGAAGCCAGCCTATGACTTCTTTTAGGCATTTCAGTAGAATATTATCAACCACGGTGAAGATCTCCACCCAAACTCATAATTATAGAAATCTAAAACAGATGTGGTACAGACAACAGTTATTATCAATAAAAATAATTTTGGTTAAAAAGCAAACAAAGGGTGCTGATACTGGTATTTAAAAGGATACTGCAACTTTAACAACTGTAAACTTTGTGTTAGAAGGCTGTGGCAGACAGCTCTGTGCTACTAGGTTTTTAGCTTGTAAATAATGCAAACACATCAGAAGTTTTTAAATGCCATAGATTATAAAAACACAAAAGGAAATGGGGAAAATAAAACAAATCCCCCCCAAGAATGTTTATCTATAGTGAAGTTATATAAATCAACACATCTAAAAGTACAAAAAAATTAGAGCAACCGATTAGGAGGGGGGGAAATCCCCACCCCCCCTATGAAATTTTAACTTCTTGACCTATTAAATGACATAACTTTTAAATTACAATGACTAGAAAAATGGACTTTACAATTGGATAGTTTCAACTCACTAAATATAATGCCAACAAGGTAATAAGCTTGCATAGAAAAAAAAATTCCAAATTATTACTGGCTTACATGTTTAAAAAATTAGAAATGCAGGTATTATAATCATAGTGCAAAACCATGGCAGTCTGTGATGTCTGTTACTGCCTAAGGTTGAGAAACAGACTGCAGTATATCCAGTTATCACAGTTTCTGGTCTTGTAATCAATTATTTCTACCAACTAGAAGCAATGTATATGTAAAGATGAGTGGCACATCTGTGTGCTTCTAATTAACCAAGTTTGAGGTCATCACCACCACCTAAATTAGAACCAGGACTAGGGTCTTGTTGTCTTCTTGCCTGTAATGACAAAAATTAAATAAATAAATAAATTTGGAATGAAAATGTGTCTTGAAAATCAAAACATTACACATAAAACACAAGCGTGCATAAGAAAAACTCACAAACACAAAAATTTTCAACCAGAATCTCTACATGTAGGAGGCAAAAGAACAATTAAAATCAAGTATGAAATATTTTGCCAAAATTTCCTTAAAAATAACAAACCCAACCATCTCATTTTATAGTCGAAAAAGCATTATAATAAATTTGTACTATGCACAAAAAGAACAATAAACTAAGTTTATAGGAGCTGGAAGGTTTTACTTTAAAGACCAACCTTAGAAGCATATCAACTTAAAAGCAAACTTTCCTTTATAGAATTAACTGACATTTATTGAGAGTCAACCATACACTGGGCACTATTTTATGGATAAACAGAAATTGAATTCTTCCCATTAATCCATAACATAGTGCTATTATCTATCTTCATTTTATAAAGAAACTTAACTACTAATATGACTGAAAAATGGGGTACAGAGTTCCATCTATTCCTGATTTTTATCTCTGGCAATGACTTCTAACCAGAAATTTCTATCTCAAGAAATGAAAGTCCAGAATTGCTCTGGAAAAATACTAGCTGGCTCAAAAGTATAGATGGACATGTAAGAGTACTTACTTGGTACAGAGGATACCAAGAAGGACCTCTTTCCATTACCACAGAGTTTTCAAGACTCTTAAGTATTTATGGAAGCCGAATGCCGTATCTTTCCTCTGCAGAGCAGCCAGTGGATTTGATCCAGCCTCTCAGCAGCCAAGTGTTTATGGCATTTTTATACAACACATTAACCCCCTTTCCCTCACATGGCAACATTTACTTCCAGTCGGCTTCACAAATCCTATTCCAATGCCCTTTTTATTTAGTGAATTCATGCGTAAATCAAGTAAACAAGTGTTTGAATCTATAGTCTGGGTTTGTTTTTTTTTTTTGGCAACAATTTTCCTTTGTTAGAAAACAGCAACTGCATTTTACTAACTGTTTGGGCCAAAACCTTGAGGTCATCCTAAACATCTTCTCACACCCAAGAACAAATTCTGAAATATCCTGAAAAATAAAAATATTTTTCTTTTTCTGAATTAAGACTACTTCTATTTCTCTAGCTACCTCTACTCTATATCAGGATTTGGGACTAATGGTAACAACCTGTGCAGTATCTTTAGCTAAAAAGAACAGTGAATTAATACCATCAACTACATAAAATGATTTCAAATAGAAAAAAAAAAAAATACCATCAACTGACTTTCCATTGTCTATGTTAGGCTTTAGAAACCAACTTAACCAGAAAATTACATTGTAGTTTCAAATCTTTATGGAGGCAGACTATAGTCTTATCCTTCCTCTTTAGTCACTTTGTAAACAAGTCAATTAAAATCCAACACAGTTTTTTATACAAATTTTTTGATCTGTTTCTGTTAACAGATTTTCACTATGGAATTCGTCCACATTAGATAATGAAGTTACGTTCCATATAAATTAGTATTAAATGTAGTTAAGGTAAGATCAATTCTGTAGTATCCGAGACGGTGATATAAGCATCTGGTTTCAGTCAATGAAGGCTAGAAAGGGGCTGAACAATGGAGAAACACTGAGGAAAATCAATCCTAATTATACATTTATAAATCACTATTTACCTACCACTAACATGTTGTGAAATGAATGTTTTAGGCTAATTTAAAATTATTTTACTAAGATGATGATGGTCAAATGACACACACACACACTCTCTCTCTCTCCCCGCCCCTCCCGCCCCCCTCACCAGCAGCTGGAATTTTCTCTACCAGTCATGACTGTATGAATTTATCTTATAGTAGTTTACTTACAAAGTTCGTATACATTTTCATACTGGATCTTTTCCCTTTCCTTTAGTCACCCCTCCTTCCACCATCAAATTGTGTGACCCTATGATTAAGCACTCCTCCTCCCCTCCTTGGATCCTCATACTTGCTTTTTAATAACGGTCTTATACAGTATTTGATTTTATGAGACTGAGTTAGTTCACTTAGCATATTGCTCCTGCATGTTGCATAGTATTCTATGGTGTGAAAGTACCATAATTTCTCAATCCATTCCATTGTGGTTGGGCATTTGGGCTGTTTCCATGTTCATGTTATATGAATAATGCTGCTATGAACATTGGTGTACAAGTCTCAGTTTGTGCCTTAGTTCTCATTTTCTCAGGGTATATTGCAAGTAGTGGAATAACTGGGTCATACGCAATGTTCAGCTTTTTGAGAGAACCCTTAACTGCCTTCCAGAGTGGTTGAACCATTTTATAATCCCATCAATGTATAAGAGTTCCTATCTCACCACATCCTCTCCAACATTTATTACTTGCCGCCCTGGTAAACTTTACGACTGCTACTGGGGTAAGACGGTGTTTCATTGTGATTTTGATTTGTAGGTTTCTTACTGTGATTTTGAGCATTTCTTCATTATGTCTGTTGGCCATCCAAATGTCCTCCTCTGTGAAAGGTCTTTCCATGTCTCTTGCCCATTTTGTAAATGGATTATCAGCCTTTTTATTCTAGAAGTCCAGGAGTATTTTGTATACTTTCATTATGGGACCCTTGTCTGAGATGGTATTGACAAACGTTTGTTCCCAATCAGAAGGTTTTCTTTTCATTCTGTTGGGCAAAGTTTTTGAAAAGCACAGAGATTTCATCTTTAGAAGGTCCCGTTTATCAACTTTATCCTCTCCAAACTGTACATTTCTGGTTATATTTGATAGTCCCTTTATACCATAGACTAGGCTTTCTAAGCTTGATCCCAATTTGTCTCTTAGGAACTTTATGGTTTTGGTCTTTATTCTCAGGTCTGATCCACTGTGAGTTGATTTTTGTGTATGGTGTGAGATGTGGATCTTGTTTCAGTTTTCTGTAATTAGCAGTCCAGTTTTGCCATCACCATTTGTTGAAGAGGTTGTCATCTCCCCATTTGATAGGTCTTATTTCCTTGTCCAATTATCAGTTGATCATAGATAGCTGGGTCCATTTCTGGGTTCTCAATTCTGTTCCATTGGTTTATATGCCTGTCACTGATTGTACCAGTACCATGCTGTTTTGGTTACTACTGCTGTGTAGTAGGTTTTGAGGTCAGGGAGTGCTACACCTCCCACTTTACTTTTTTTTTTTTTCAGAAGTGCTTTGCTTATTCAGGGTCTCTTTATTCTCCAAATGAACTTAACAAATTCCTTTTCGATCTCTTGAAAAATGAATTTGGTATCTGTATTGGGATTGCACTGAATATATTGTCATTTTCACAATACTGAGTCTTTCTATCCATGAACAGGGATCAGTTTTCCATTTATTTAGGTCTTTTCTTGTGTCTCACAAAAATGTTCTGTAGTTTTGTCTTTTGTGTCTCTAGTTAGGTTCCCTCCCAAGTATCTCAATTTGTGGTTGGTTATTGTAAATGGTATTGCCTTCTTGGTTTCCTTCTCTGAGTTCTCTTTGTAACTGTAGAGGAATCCCATTGATTTTTAGATACTGATCTTGTATTCTGCCACTCTATTCAAATGGTCTACTAGCTCCAACAGTTTTTTTTGGTAAAGCCCTGGAAGGGAAGAAGTTTAATTAATTTTTTTTGCAATATCCATATGCACTTTATTACAGATCTGGAAGGATGGTGAGTTCCCATCAAAAACTGCATTCATATGAGTTTTTATTTGAAATAGATCTGACAAAAGCACAGGCACCAGGAAAAAGAAGCACTGTTTTGCTTTATGTTTCTGTTCACACTGTGAAGAAGAAAGAGAAGAAGATGTACAAGACATACATCTTGAAAGGGTATTGAGAAAGGAGGAAAAACAAAAGGGGGAAAAAGTCTGCTAGGGAATGAAAGAGCAGAAGAAGAAAAAGAGAAAATGCTAGAAAACTGACTGCTGGAAGAGAAGGATGGACAAACAGAAAACCAGAGCAATGTTCAATGAAACAGTTTCTACAGGACTGGAATTCAACCAATGGATAAGCTGCATTGTGAAGCAGCAAATTCCAAATATTGTGGCAGGCAGTTTTCTAGCACAGTATGTCATACAATTTAGAAGAAATTATTATTTTTTTAGAAGGAATTATTTAAAGAACAATAAGCTGACAACACTAGGTGATGGCAAAAATACTCCCGGGACTTAATGATTCTAAAGGAACACTGACTATGATTTTGAGTTCCTTTCTCTTGGAATCTAACTTTTCACTAACAGTTATTTCAGGACACTATCTTAATGAAAAGCAGATGTTCAGGAGTCTGACTTAAGAACACCAATCTGTTTTTAATATTTATAAAGAATTCCTCTAGATCTTTTACTACAGGCCTCCTCTGACAGTTGTTTTCTTTCCTTCAGTAAAGCAGCACCCAGAAACACAGTAAATATGGCTGGGGGAACTAGTCAGGAGACAAATCTAGAAGGAAAGAGAGAGAACAGTCCTCGGCAGTCAGTTTCTCTCTCTCTCTCTCTCTCTCACACACACACACACAGAATGGGATGTTCAAATGGATAAAAAGTCTTGTTTAGTTTCTATCCAGCAATTATCAAGATCACGAAAGCAAAGCTGAAAATGTCTTTTCCCCCATTTCCTATTGCGAAAACGTTCTAATGAAAGTTAACAGAAAAGTTGGACTTTCATTCATTCATTGTTGCACATTTTCTTCCCTATCCTTCCCCCAGTTCACTTAAAAAAAAATTATTGTTGCAGACTTACCTCCCTCCTTCCCTCCAATTTGCTATGCACCTCATATTCTGGTTTGCTGTCATACAGCAAATGCCTAATCACATATTTCTTTTAAACAGTTCTTTCATTCATTTGTTTCAATGCAGTATTCATTTTTTATTCCCTGTTTTCTCAGTTTCTCCCCAAACCTCATGTCAGTTCTGTTTAATAACAATGCTGTTATACAGTATTTTCCCTTTAGTTACTGAGGTATTTCACTCTGTGCTATAGTATTGTGCCAGTCATTTTACATTTGA